CTATACTTTTATTGCAGATTCTGCAGATTAATGTGTTAAAAATATATAGTAAAATTCTATGTACATACCTTTTTTGTTATCTGCTTGATGTATATATAGGCTGAAATGAAACTACAGTAATCGATTTCACTACAACGCACAGAAGACAGATCGCTCTCTGTATCTCAGCCACGATGCAGCTCTGTTCACCCGATAGAAAGGGCAATAATCTCTTGCAGCTATAACGGAAGTTCTTAGCACTGAGGATGGGACCCCTCTAGCTAATATCTTGAATAGCCATGCTTTCATTCTTCGGTGATTTAGTCAAAAGATTCGAAAATCCGAAGAGTGTAACAAAGATGTAATGTTTTCGAGCAGAGAACCAAATGATTTTATTGCTTCCATATGTTTTATGGCATCAGGGACTGCTAAATTTGTCATGTGTTACAAACCGAAACGAATTTATAATGCAGAATAACTCTGTGAAGAACTGGGACACCAATTTTGCAGTACGCATCAAAATTAAAAGAAAAAATTAGAAAAATCGTGTATAACTTCTTGTATAAAAATTTTCAAATCTTACATTTTAATATGCGACACTGTGTTCTTTGCTGATACAAACAAAGTTAATTCCATCCATTTATCATAAAAATTATGTTAGACACAGTATTTTTAAACACAATGGTTAATATTGTTTAAGCGCCCTACCAGGAATGGACATTTAAAGCGCTGCGATAGCGGTCATTTAAATATGGTCCCGCCAACTCAGACTTACAACCATTTCAAAGGCCGGTCGTTCAGTAATCTTTTATGTTTGATGTTTGCAGAAATTTTTTTAACAATAGTGCACATATGAACAGAATACTTAATGGTAGTAATTCTACCACCAATGGACCCATAGTGCCAAGCGCAGCAAATCTTTCACATACTCAAAGTTGAGAGCGATATGCAAAGCAGAAAAAACTAAATCTCTTGCACATCACACAGTTAATTAAACACTTGAGGCCAAGCTATTTCAGCGCGCGTTAACAGGAAAATATGAAACTAAAAATGTGATAAAAACGAACATGAGTGGAACTAGGATAGAAAAGGAGGTAGAAACTTTTGTTACAAACCAAGCTAACAAAATCATCTACAACTTATTGGTCTGTGCAAACCGCCCCTCTGAAGAATTCATTTTATAGGATAGGGCCGGAGGTACTGGGCAGTCCCGTGAAACTCCCATGTTATTGGTGGGCAACATGTCCGCCATGACACCACCGTGCAGTGCTGCTGCCATCTCTACATATCCTACATTAACTTTAATATCTTATTACAGAATAATTGAGATATTTTTGCGAATTCTTAAGGTCTAAAACTATAGTGAATAGATTGATCTAGAAGCAACGATCTAGACATATATTCGGGAAGTACTTCGTTTAAATCCTTGCCGGAACTACGAGTATCCTGGAACAGGATTTCCTCAGTTCCTTCCGGCTAATAGTGGGAGTTACCTCAATGAGACAAGAGAACTTCAATCCAAATCCCATCAAATTCATGATAACCTATCAAGCAACGTCTAGAATTTCCAAATTGACAGCGTCGTTAAATAACCAATCAAAGAAAGATAATATAGCATGAAATATTTTGTCTTAAGTTATTGTCGAAAAACCTTATATCCTAGTTCTTTACAGCTTTAAATTAATATTAATTTATCCCATAACAAATTTGTTTCTTATTTTTTATTTAAAGCAAAGAACCATTGTCGAAAATTTTAAGCGCGTATTCAAAGATCCTTAAAAAATATTGTATTTAAGCATCCTGTTGCACTCTATACGATAAATGATATAATGATATAAACTCCGTCTCAAGTGCAAACAGTATATTATGTGTCTTTGATCTTGCTCCTCTACACTACATGTTTCGGCCTCAGACGGCCATCATCAGGTGTATAACACTCACGTTGCTGTCACACTGCACCCAGCCCAAGGAACAAGGAAAGTGTTTTAAATGTTAAATTTTGGGATGGGTGCAGTGTGACAGCAACGTGAGTGTTATACACTTGATGATGGCCGTCTGAGGCCGAAACATGTAGTGTAGAGGAGCAAGATCAAAGACACATAATATACTGTTTGCACTTGAGACGGAGTTTATATCATTATATCATTTATCCTTAAAAAATGATGGCTACTTTATTTTTCTTGTAGGATATATCCATCACATATGGCATGCTCACGCTTGGGAAATTATCTGAGCCTTAGAAGAACCAGTTATTTCTAAGAAGACTCGACGGTAGCACTTGACCAGTGTCTAGGGAAATCAACCTTCATTTTACTCCTTCAGTAGATTCGTGTAATTACATAACCAAGATGGAGTAATGCTGAATTGTAACAATTTAAGTAACCCGTAAAAATACAGAGCGAGAATTTAAACAGACAAGAAGCAGAAGATCTTGGAAGAATTAATAGTCTCTTTTCCTTCGATACTAAGTGGAATACATAGAAAACAAAAATAAGGGGCTACACAGGGAGCAATGTGATCTCATAAGCCTCATTTTATTCTTTCAAAATGAAGAAAATAGATTAAAAATAAATAAATAAAAATGTTATCTTTATAGAGTACATCCTGTTGTGAATTTGCAAATTATCCTATTTTAATTTAAAACTTAACGGAGCGTATTTTGGTGTATTTTGGGGCTGCAACTCAATAGAATGTTTGATGTTGTTAAATTTGCAAATGCTTTTCGCCTTACTGGCATGAACAATCCTTATAGAGTGCATCTATTGCGTATTTGCAATCTATTCTTCGAGTTTCGTTAGACGGAACAAGCCGAATAGAATAGTTCAATAAAAATAATAATGAACATCTGTTTCTGCAAAGGCTATGCTTTTATAATTCATAATAAATACATGTTTTTCTTAGAAAAATTGACAAATCAATTAACTCATTTAAATCCTAATTTCAGCCCACAAACCTAGTCTATACTGTCCTTACTTTGAGGCCTGGCTGCACGCCTAACCTCCAGTCTGCCCAGATGCCAGCCCATTAATTTGTCGACCTGAATATGCGACCGAGAATTTACCGGGTTGTCTAGTCTCTTGCTTTCGATGTAAAGTCAGGCTGGCGTCCAATGAGGCTGGCGTCGCTGGCGTCTAGGCCAGAGACTCAACACTTCGGCATCTAGTCTTACCGGAGATTACACAGGCCAGCGTCTATGCTAGCAAAAACGTAGATCAGCTGGAATCTCTTCAGGAGGGAAATAAGCAGACACGCGTGTTATCAGGCGCACGGCTGCTTAGCTTGGCGTCTAGTAAGTCTGGAGTGAAGGCAAGCCGGTGTCTAAACGTCTAAACGGACCAGAGCGTAGGCTCTTTGGTGTCTAGTTGTCCTGGAGAGTAAAGGGGTCAGAGGTCAAACAACACAACATCTATGATGGTCTGAGACTAGCTTAGAATGTCCGGCGCTTTTTGAAAGTACAAGATTATTCAGGAGGGCGTCTAGACAAGCTGAGTTCTAAGGAGGTCAGTCTCTGTAGACTTCGGCACCTAGTCTTGCCGGAGAATACATTGGCTATCTTCTAGGCAGTTCATTCTCTCTTCTAGTTGGAATCTAGTGAGAAAGGTATCTGATCAAACCCGATTGTAGTCAAGACAGTGTTTAAAGGGGTCAGAGGGTGGCAATTTCCCAAAGACTTATCACTCCAACTTCAGGTAAGCACGGCATTTAGTGACGCGTCTCGTCAAACTGGGCGTCTGGCAAGAAAGGGAGTAAACACATCGGGTTGGTGACTTAAGAAATGCTGACGTCTAGGCGAAAGGACATACGAAAGAGCGGCGTCTATGCTGCATGGAATTTAGTACAACCGCAACCTGATGAGGCTAGATGTTAACAACACTAATGTACTGACAAGGCAGAACATTAGTCGGGACGGCGTCTAGTGAAATCTGTTTATTAGGGTCACTGAACTAAAAGGGAAAATATTTGGAACTAGTCCAAGGCTAGTCAAGTTTGCATCTATTCAAGGTGACGTATACCAAGGCCGGTGAAAAATTGGGTCCATATATATTGGGTCCGGTGTCTGCTGAGGTCGTTGTTTCATAAGGACGATATCTACTGAAGGCGGTGTTTAATGGGGCTCTTACCTACTGAGGCCCGGTAGATAATCACTCCATCATGCGATAATATTAAAATCAGACATTAGGGGGTGCTTTTATTATTTCTTATATTATAATAAAAATTTATTTATATCACCTCCTAATTAATATGTATCGGGAGCTGTTCCCCCTAGAATGCGAAGCTGACCACTCATCTCAATCTAGTGTTGGGATCAAGAATGATGGAGCCATACCTTCACTCCCCCATACGTCTCTATGGCGTGTTTTTAGTTATTTAACCACAGGGACAAATTTACCGTAACTATTTGTATCTTAGGACACATACAGTGTTGGATATTATTTAATAGAGAGTTACAGAGGTACTGGCAGCTTCGATATATACTGCGCTGTCATGTTCAGGGTGATGTCTTCCAGAGGACGCATCTCCGAATTCTAACAGATGTCAGAGTTGGTTACGAAGAACAGGGATACTGTCATCTAAGACGTGATGCCCTGTACACCGGTAGAATTTCACTGATCTTTCGGAGGGACCTCCTGCCGTCGTCATTAGGGTATAATTGTAAGCTTTCTGTACCCCTCTTCATGGCTTACTTTTCATTGCAATATGTTCCTCCGAAAAGTCTGTAAATTTCCATCGGATTACATGTCGACATATATCAGAAAGTATCAGTCCTTAAGTGCGTCAGAAATTCATAATTTGAGGATTTCTTCTGAAGTCGCACAGGCCAGCAGGAATTTAAGAAAAGAAGATTAATTTGTAATGCGTTATTGCTTCATTTCCNACAGAGTGACAACTTGTTTCAGATGTTATTTTGGTATGCTGAAACAGCATAAATACTAATTATTATACAGTACATTCAAACGCATATATTTCATAGACATAAATACTATAATGTCTTTATATGAGGTGAATTTTCTCTGTTTCAGACATTCCTGCCCAGAAGCATGCGCAGTTGGCGAACTTTAATGATGGGAACTGTGAAAATATAAAGAGAATGAAGAGAAACGACATGAAATTTGGGGATTTTTCTTCAATCACCATGATGATTTTTGACGCTATATTATTTAGTAGATCTTCACCAAGCATTTGGAGGTACATGGCGACTCTTCTTCAGGGTATAAGTCGAGCGTAAGAAGAAGTAAGGATATTGGGAGTGCCAGAAACAGGATTAGATGCACGACTGAACCGACAGTGTAACAAGCAAAGTCTACAGAAAATATGGCATTTAAAGTATTTATTTCCGTGGGCAGGGAGACAGGACGAAGTAGCGGACGGGTGAAGTAATACGTGGCTTTGTCTTTGGAAATCACTGTACTAAGAAAGCACGGATCCGCTGAGGCCGTTGGCTGCAGTACATGGCCGAATCTAAGATCGAATTACATTTATACTCCGAAGATGGAGGCAACAGGTACATCTCAAACGTTGGTACCCTTTTACAGATTACACGACGTTACAACACGGAAGAGCATTTTATTAATATTTACCGCATTGAAAACCAAGATTTCATATTTTTGTGTCAAAGAACACTGAAATAATTTTTTCGTTGCTAGATGGAGCTCAAGTTTCTTGGGACAGAAAATAGGTTATAAATAACTGTGAGGTCTTCAGATGAAGTAACTCATGTTTGTAAAATATTATGTGAAAATAAAAGAATTTTTTTAATTAACAATTATTTCTCATCCTATGTGGTGTACGGAATTAGGAACTTTGCATCATTATGAAAATAAAAGATATAAAGGCCGTATCGCTGTTTTTATCTAGTACCTGCTAGTCCAAAATTTTCTTAAAACTGTTATGATAGGCTATTTCTTCAAGGATTCCTATCCTGCATCCTTAACGTTCAAACTGCATTTAAATGAATGCCAACAATTTAAAAATTTATATGTATTTACGTAATTATTTATACGCATATATTAAGTAGTGAAGCCGGGATAGCTCAGTCAGTATAGCGACAGTCTACGGGTTTGAAGGCCTGGGATTGATTCCCGGCAGGAGCAAGAGATTTTTGTCTACTCTGCAGCGTCCAGACTGGATCTGGAACCCACCTACACTACCCTACTTAGCAACAGATCTCCTACTGTTCCGTGAGTCTGCTTCTGCGGGAATGTGTTTAGCGACCCGTTACTTACCAATGGACATGGCGAGGACCACATAGAAAACAATTTTTGTAATACCTTTTCTATTCTTGAGTACTCGTATTTCGGGCGTTGCCTGGAAATGGGTCTACATGTCATAATATTTTACGCCTCGAGGGAAATAAAAATAAAAGCAGCATTCCAGAAAAACTCCGAAACCAAGAGACTGGAAATATTACACAAAATATGTCAGATTTAAGTAACCTTGAAAATCTCATTAATGTTTGTTGAGGACGTGCCTTAGCTCAGGCGGTTAGAAGTCTGCTTCCCACAGCGGAGGCCCCTGATTCGAGCTCAGGTCAGTTCATGTGGGATTATGGTGGGCACAGTGCCACTGAGGCAGGTTTTCTCCAAGTAATTCGGTTCCCCTGCCAATCTTCAGTCCACCGACTGCTCCACACTCATCATCTATCTTCCGGGGCTGGTACAATAGGCCAGTTAGTAACCGACGTACCAACTGGTTTCAGTCTCACCCCACCCCAAGAAACTAAAAAGAAAAAACTTTTCTATAATAATGAACTCGAGTATACGACAATTTTGCATGCTATGAATTCNCGTTAGTAACTGACGTACCAAGTGGTTTCAGTCTCACCCCACCCCAAGAAACTAAAAAGAAAAACTTTTCCATAATAATGAACTCGAGTATACGACAATTTTGCATGCTATGAATTCAGTGAATTTGGAAATAACAATTCTGTCGTATAGGCCTGATTGTCAGAAGTAAAATGAAACATCATGAAGCATTTATCTTGGGAACTCCATTCCTGACAAACAATATAGATAGTAGGAGACAAATGATGATGGCTTCTTGTTACATTTTTACGGAACAAGGCAACAGGGCCTCAGAAGAGTCAACCTTATTAAACGTTTGAAGAAGTATGTGAGAAGTCAGTTCCCACACCGGTGAAACCTGTGTGATGGGACGCCCTATAGTCTGCTAGGAGTTTAGGGACGCTTCTGAGAAAGGTCCTGCTTCCGTCTTTAGGGTCGAAAAGTAAGCCGTAGGAACGGCAAGCAGATTACTATCCTATCATATACTCCACACTTGAACAAATAAATTATGTGGAAATATGCCAAAAATATTATATCTAAATAAATTTAAGAAAGAACGGTCTGTTTCTCAGAACAGAATGGAGTCATCGACTTCGTTAAGAATCCATCTGTCTTCTGAAATCATGCTGAGAAAATATATGCCTATGTATGTGTTTAAAAAGAAAAAGCGACGGTAAATAAAAAGTTTCAAGTTGTTTAAATTTTACAATAAAAATTCTTCACTTTTATTACCAAGAAATTATAACGTATTCATGACTAGACACGGGGTTTGGCTTCCTAATTTAATTTGTTGGGCTCTTACAACTCGTAATTACGAAGAATTATAACACTGCTGCTAATTTACACACAGAAAAGTCCTATGACACTCTTTTAAGTCCCTCTCCGTTATGTCTTCAATGGTCTTTGTTTGGTAATATCTTCTGTTTGCGTAGTTGCTGGCTGTCTACCATATCACAACTGCTCCTCAACTATCGACTTTAAAAAGTCATTTATGACGACGGTCTGTCGGCCAGTCTGTCTTGGTGTCAAGCCCCATCTGCGGTCCAAGACCATATATCTCTTAATATCAGACCGTTGCGTTTTTGTCGATGTGGGACGTCTTCTCTGACGAGAAGACGGATCTATCATTCACTGCGGCAAAAATCAGTGGTACATTCCACGCACCGTATTTACGCATGTATAGGCCGCACATATTTTGCCAAAAATTCAAGAGGAAAACTGGGGTGCGGCTTATATTCGAAATATTCGAAATCACACTTCATTAAAAAAAAATATATTCGGAATATTTCGGAAAAATTTCTACTCCTGAAATAATATTCCAAGAAAATTATTTTTTCTATAATTTCTGTCTGAAAATTGTGCTGCGGCCTATACACGCACGCGGCCTATACATGCGTAAATACGGTATATTTACAATCTTACCTCTCTACATTCTATGCAGCAAGTCTGTTGTCAAGATACCGTCTGGTATTCTTGTTATAGAGCTTCGGCATGGACTACATAGAAAATACCGCTTCTAACATTTCTTCAATTTTTGCATGCGTATCCGTTGTTGCGGATAAGTGTTTATCGAGCCGTTACCAAGCAGTGGCTGTCATTTTGAGTCTTCATGTCACAAAATATCTAAAATATTTTATCTTAGGGAAACTTTGGTGTAATAGACCAGAAGTGGCCGCAGTACAAGAGACTTAGTCCCACCCCATTAACAATAATAAAATAAAATAGGGAAACTTACGGAAAAGACAACTACGTGTTCAGTGAGATGTCTTTCGTTCCTATCTTACATTGAAAGTGAAAGGTTACCTGGTGTGTAGTCTCGCAGAACTGTGTAAAATGCACTCAGCAAATAAATTCTAAATTCAGCTTGATGGGGTCTAAGATCCATTTCAGCGAATTGTGTCTCACAAGGTTCGGAGTAAAGAAACAGTCCCCCCATCGCTGGAAACTACGTGTGTTTTGACCCTTAAGTATCAGAGGGCTAATTTAATGGCGGTAAAAAGCACAGTAACGTGAGCAACGAGTTTCGCGTGGCTGTGGTTCTTGTCTACTAATCTACTCGTTATAAGCTCACAAAAACGGTCTCTACCTGAGAAGGTACTAATAGGTCTCATGATGAAAAGAGAAACACCATAATTTGCAATCACGTCCGCTGCTAAGTTTCCGTCCCATAATGCAAAGAGAATTCTCTGCACACGTTTAAAATTCTCAGCAATTAATTTGCAGGTTATTGACTGTGACCAATCAACTGAAACACTATAATAAAATTGCAGGGATGAGAAACGTAAGGACAGCCGGAACGGCTCAGTCAGTATAACGATTGAATACAGGCTGGATGTATTTGATTCGATTCCTTGCAGGGACAAGAGCCTTTTTCTGCTCCACAGTGTCCAGACTGGCTCTGCGGTTAGTCCAGGTGTCTATAAAGAAGGTAACGGGTATAAAGCGGCCGGAGCTTGAAGCTCGCTACTCTTCTCCATCTGTTGCCAAGGTCGAGAATGGTGGAGTTATACCTCCTCTTCCCCCTGCACGTTCATCATAAGTAAGTCAACGGACAACTTTGCCATTACTGTCTTTACCTGGGTCATTAAAGTGAATGGAAGTGATAATTTTTATGATTACAACTTCCTCTACATCAAGCATGGGGCTTCAAGGTCTGTTGCGGCTCCTTAAATTCGGTTTCGCAATATTTTTTTGAGAAGCCCAAGTTTTATTTCCCCTGAAGGCGGTGGCTCATAGTTTGACTGAGAATTTCATTTTAAATCAATCATCCTTCTTGTGGACTAATATGGTAAATAGGTTTCCGAACCCCGTAACCCTGAGAGTGATGCTGGCGGGAGTGTAAGCTGCCGGTAGGTCGACCGTGCTAGTAGTGTCTAAGGATAGAGGTCAGAAGAAAAGTAGTCCCTAGCCCTCCAGAGCGGGTGCTGTGTCTTACATTGTTAACCTCAGAATTACTGGGGTTTTGGACTTTTTAAATCGTCCGAAATTCTAGGTAATAGAGGACACCCTACGTCCTCTATTGCATAGAATTCCGGACTATGGAAAAAGTCCAAAATCCCAGTAATCCTGTGTGTCATCCACCTTCGTCAGAACCCTTCAGAATCTAATTGTTAACCTCCCAACATAAAAGTCTTCTTACTTATAAGATTATGTGGAACTCCCCCATACGCCTTCTTTTTTTTTTAAATCGCATAGTGGGGGGTGGAATCCAGTTGGGTCCACTGGGCACGGCGGCCACTGATTGGACTATTGTACCTGCCCCGGGTGATTATGATGATGGAGAATTTGGTGGAATGAAGATTGGCAGGGTAAACCGAAGTACTCGCAGAAGACGTACCCCAGTGCCACTTTGTCCACCACAAATCCCACTTGACCAGACCCGGGTTAGAATCCCGGCCGCCGCAGTGGGAAGCCAGTGACTAGCCTCTTGAGCTATGGCGCGGCCTTTCGATACGCCTTCTTGGCATTGTGCTTAATTAGTTAAGCACATGGATAATTTTACCTTACGTTTACTGATTTACTGATTTTGTACCAAGAAATATGTACGTCTCTTTACACGTTTACTGTGGCACTTTGTAGCGTAGTTGGTAGAGGCACTATGCTACAAAGCGGAAGGTCGTGGTTTCAATTACCCATGGGGGTCATTGGATTCTTTTATTAAACTAATCCTTCCAGCTGCACTATGATCCTGGGGTCGACTCAGTCTCCAACAGAAATGAATAACAGCAATCTTCCTGGGGTAGAGGACAGCCAGTGCGTAAGGCTGACAACCTCACCGCCATCTGTGAGCCAACTGTCTAAAAAATGTGGTGGCCTTGACACCTCACAACCCTAGTTTATTAATGAGTTTTACTCATGTTTACCTCCCCGAAGACTACCGTCCATATGATCCGGAGAGCTATGCTGGCGGGTGCGTAAGATTCTAGTAGCGCCATCCATGCCACAGAGTTCGAAGGTTAGGGTCAGGCCACATGTAGTCTCTGATAGACAAGTTTTGGGGTTGGGTGGAACGCTGACGACGCCACCCCTGAAAAATTTAGCGGTAAGAAACCACAGA